CCCCCCCCCCCCCCCCCCCCCCCCCCTCTCAACCTCCTTGCACTCTTCTCACCTATTGTACAGCATCCCTTCTCTGTGCATCAAATAGCCATGATAGCTCTTTTCAACTCTCCTCATTATCGAACTGAGATATCTGAATCAGATCTGAGGCACATGTGAGGCAGGAGCAGCAGAGAGTTAGTCAGGATAAAGAAGTCTCTTCTGGCTTACATTTTATTCTCATTAAACTTAAATCCTACCGCTGTACAAACTGCAGGACGGTACAAGCTGTAAAGTGATTTTTCTGAGCACACATCCCTCAACAATAATCCCTCTTCTTTGTGGTCTCTTTGGTATAAACCCGGAAGCAAGACGGCGGCAGGGTCGCGCCATGCACACACGCGCGCTGCCAGCCGACCAATTAGAAAACGGTACCGCTTTAAAAGCATCGTCAGACGGAGAGGTTGCGAGGCACCGTGGTAACCATGGTGACCGGAGCTTCGTCATGCTACTGCTGGAGGGGAGGCTGTGACGTGCCGCACGTGCTGATCAAGACCAATCAATGAAACGTTAAAAGGCCGGCGTAGGGACAGGTGCACTGACGACTGATACATCACAGCAAAACTATGGCCCCTCGGCGGAAATATTACAAGGAAATTAGAGTGAAAATGTCGAATAAATTGGAATGTACTTTTATAGAAAATTGGTCGCTATACGTTTGTACCAGTAGAAGTAGCCTAGTAATGCTACACGCTGCTATAACAGCAGTGCTGACCACCATAGACACACACTTCGTCATTTAAGCTAACCATAAGAGATCAAAAAAAAGGAGCTGTCAACTGCAATGTATGATTATAAACACTTTAAATCCATATACAAGTGTTTATTATTCAGTTTTGTAGGTATAGACAATACCATACACATTAATAATACTGGGAATATAATTATCTAGCAATACTTTATCAGAGAAAACAAGAAAACCGAAAGAATATCAGACATTGTATGAGATTTTACCTCTCCGGGGTGCCGGCTTGTCATCCTTGGTGGGCACCCAGATCTTTTGGATCCTGTTCTGGGTCAGCTCTCTGGGCATCCCTTAGCCGAACAGCACACAAGAACCGAGTCGCTTAGATCCCGGGGTAAAAAAAAAAAAAAAAAAGGGGATAGAAAAGGAGGACGGTGGTTGTTTAATTAAGCAGGAGCCTCGTCCGTTCAGGTTCAATGTCCCGAGCTATTCTCAATGTCTACAGATCGCGTTGAGCCGGTCTAATCTGCCGGTCTGCGGCACACATCCGCTATTTAACCCCGCCCGGCTGGCCAAGCAACGTGACTGCGGTGACGAAAGCCAACACACGTGCGCGCGCACACGTCCATGCATGCACTCATACACAGGCAGCCGCAGCGCCTCTCTGTGGCGGTTTAACTCTCATAGGATGATAACATTCATGCGATCTAACATAGCGGGCACGTTATCTGTATTAAGTGTGATTCATTTTTTCTACTTTTTTTGTATTACTAGTAGTAGCCGAAGTAACCTATATTTAGCCTACGTTATTATTTAATTGTTAATTGTATTCCTGTTATTGAAATGTATTGATTTGCAAACTTTTTTGTATATTTTTTATCTTTTAAATAAGGTTGGAGTGTAGCAGTATGATAATTTAATTGTATTGTAAATTGGAAATGTCTCGATAAAGTTATTAACAGTTTATTAGAAGTGGCGGTTGTCTGTAACGTCACTGTTTATGTACACTTTGTCCACGTCTTCCTGCTGCTTCATCATAAGCCCCGCTCTTCAGTCTGAGAGTAAACGTGCCGAGCGTCACATCACCTCACGCTGCTTCCGACCTCACACTGGGTTGTCCCACTGAGTCATAATGGACATGATAATTATATATATATATATATATATATATATATATATATATAGCGAGTTGGTATAAATATCCAATACCCCACATTTACCAAACATGTTTAAATTCAAGTGTACCGAAGACTTCTGAAGGGAAATATTGAAGCAGAACCAGACACTCTTGATAAATCAAATCAAAATATGCTACATGACATACACTTTCTCTAAAAGTTTTTTTTATTTAATTTGCAGTGTATGTGTGCAGCCCTCTACAGTATCCGGCTGAGACTAAATATAACAGCTCACTGAGCTTCTGCTGGTTGGCAGTTTCAGCCTGAACACTATGTCACCGGGCTTCAAATGCAGACACACACACACACACACAGAGACCATCTCATCCCACTATCACCTTGCAATATTTTTTAAACACAGTACAAAAGATCAAACCTTAAAAGCTTTCTGACATTCAGTGAATCATAATGGAATAAATACATATCTGTTACTTGCAAGTGACTTAAAGCGGACCTCATTCATTTAAACTTGCATGTTTTGCTTTATATTATTGTTCTGTAAAGCACTTTATAACCTCTTCAAAAAGTGCATACTGTATAGGCTGAAGATTTACTCATTAAACTATAAGTGACATATACAGTTTCCTGTCTACAACAGTAATGTAGTATTCCCTACAGTAGATTGTGCACTGTAAAAAACAAAAATTGTGCAATTGAAAATACTTTTTACAGTGTAGTGAAATCCCTCTGTTGCATCAGTTTGGACTTGTACTGAACTCTCTCCAACCTTTTCCCCAAAACCTAATGCGTAATGGCACTCCAACTAATATCCTGTTTATTGAAGTGGATTTATTCAACAGAGTGACAAACTCATTCCTGTTGACCAGCTGAACAAAGGGCATCCGTGTGACAGAAGAGAACAGCAGTATAGTAGTGATATCCATGTTCCTATGAACATAAAACTTTTCACGTTTTAGATTGTATTTTGTCTCAGTAGGAGAAACTGCCTGTCCGTCTTGTCCAACTTTTCCTAAAAGTAGCTGTGAATCCAAATGGGGCCTGGCTGACTACAAGGTAATTAGAATAATATTTGCAATGAAAATACTTGATTAAGTATTTGGTCTGTATTGAAATGTGCTTTGAATGACATCTCTCTGTTCATTGAAAGAACTTTGTTGTTTTTCCTCCCCTACCACATTAATCATCTCTCGAGCCCTCAGATTTACTGTACCATGTGACCCTTTGGAGGATAACTGCATATAAAGTGGTTTAAACTGCAGTAGCGCCATATTGACGTTTAGCTAGTTATAAATGCATTCAATTAGTTTAGAGAGAACCATCAGCACAGTGGAATAAAGAGGAAGAGATAATCAGAAGGCTGCATCCATGAAATATAAATCCCTGACTTAATGTATTCACTCACTGAATATGTTCACACAACATATCCAGTGAGCCAAACGCATCGTGACCTCTCAACTTCGTCTCAAGTCACACCAGCTGGTATGTAGGCCAGGGTTAAATATGCCGCTGACAGCCAATCACATCTCTCCACTCTGCGGCGCACGTTCAGGACACGCTCTCAGCATGGCTTTCACACCTGGTTCCTACATGTGCGCACACACACACAGACACACAGACTACACACACACTGCTATTACAGGCCTGACTGTGGCACAGCAAGTGTGACAGTTATTTAGCTTGTTCTTTTTACTGTAGTGCGTGAGAAACATATTCATAACAGCCGGTCAAACATCTGTCTTTCATCACAGCCATACTCCCTCGACCTTTGACCCCTGCAGTATGAATGAGGAGATCTTTCAAACAGGCCTCTCTGCTCCTCTCTGCCTTTCTATCCTGATCTGAATTAACCCTGCTCCGGTGGGATGCTTCCCGACGTATCTCACCGCCACCTCATGGGGCCCTTTTTGGTGCGCTTACATAATTCTGAATGAGGCTGGGGCTGCGTTTACCGTCCCAGTCCCCTTCCCATAATCCATCAGGGCTAAGTTAAGACTATCGGGCCCCTGGGATGTCCCAACACTACCGTGGAACCGGTGTTATGTCAGACAAAATTCAGAGAAGGAAACTAGGCTCCATGACAGATGTGTCCAAGTTTTGAGTTACATTTATGGGTTTGCTACGGAGTGTTTATACCAGGATGCAATATTTCACATTTTCAAACTGGAAAAAAACTGTAGCTCAGTCACCATGTCTAGGCTGCTTTCTAATTCCTATACTGACTCTAAGAAATGCTAAAAATGTTAAACTCAACAACAAAAACGTACATTTACACAGAATAATGACACATAAATAAAGAAACAAGAAAACTAGACGTAGTTTATACCCTTTATTTTGTCTTGATATAAAGGTATTTTTCATCTAGGGACAAAAAAAACAAAAAACAATATTCTACAAGATGGACTCACCACTACATACAGACACTTCAATGCTGTTCAGGAAATTTAAAAAAAGGTTTTATGTACAAGTGAGGAGACAATGTGCGCCCAGGGAGACATCAGAACTGCTCGCCGAGGTCCAAAACCCAAAACTTGTCTAGATTGTAGAAGCAGGCCTTGACGATTCGCCCGCCGAAATACCGCCCGTTCAGATCCACCACGGCTGTAGAGGGCAGAGGGAGGGAGGGAGAGAGAGAGTTAAGATCAGACTGTACCCAAGTACACAGATAAACCTTTCCACATCAGGATTAGTGCTGCTAGATAAAATAAAACCTGCTTTGACGGGGTTATACATGGTATAATAGTATGCAGAAGTGTCCCAGAATGCCTTTGACCAGCTCCTGAAGGGGACTTGAACATCTGACTCTTATATTCAAGCTCTCACTTGTTGAACAATGGCCCATGGTTGAATCGCAGGGTTATTTAGAAAGCTGAAAATTTGCTGCCGTACTGTCAGCAGGAAGAGGAGAAATACACCAAACTACCACCCTGTTCCCTGTCTTTGTGCTAAGCTAAGCTAACTGGCTTTTTGGCTATAGCTATATGGGGATGTAGCCCTGATGCCACGCAGTTGCAGAAGGAAATCAGGTGGGACAGGGTTCCTTGAGCAAGACAACACAGTGGTCATCTCCTTCCCGTTACTGTGAGACCATGACCTCTGACCTCCCTATCGAGGAACAGCGAGAGACTTTCCCTCTTGGGAGCAATGCAATGTTTCATCCTCCTCCGTAGAAATAGAGGCAGTGTGACACTTGAAAATGACGCGTTATGACTGAGGCCCTCTGAGTGTCTGTCCCGCTTTCCTGAGAGCTGTGATGTAAGCGTGCTTTTGCCGGTGCCGCAGGGGAGACACCGGGGCTGCTGGGCCACGTGTGATGTAACACCGCAGGGAGTCTCACCTTGTTCCTGATCTGGGCCGACCCATTTAGAACGGGGCACACTTTCACTCCGCATTATTAGAGCAGCTATAAAACGGTAGGAAGAAACGGATGCAGTTACATAAAAGTTGATCGCCCAAACCCCCCCCAAAAAAAACAGCCGGCCGATGTGTGGAGATGACCCGCTGAAAGCAGAATCCCAACGGAAATGTGCATGATGATAAAGAACAAGTGGACCTATCAGCAGAGGGCTCACGCGGGAGTGCGCGCATGAGACGACAAGAAAGATACTGACCTTTGATGGCTGACTCCACCCTCTCAAACTCAAGGAATATCCTGACAGCTTCCTCATCTGGCACGACTGCAATCTGAAAAGCAAAGTTTCATTGCGATTGTCCTGTTTGATCAACAAATCCACGGCGCACTTTGTGCATTTTTTTTCCCCTCACCTCAAATATGACACATTTAACCACTTTGCCGTATTTCTCGCACTCCTCTTTCGTCTCCCCCTCCAAGTCCTCGTCCACTTCTCCGCGGCCCACCATGTTCTACGAGACAAATGGAGACATCAGGCCTACGTGCATGAAACCACGGAAGATAACGAGGGCTCAAACTGCACCAGAAGCTCTGGTATTTACTTCATTTTCTGTTCCAATCTGGAAAACAGCATTTAAGAACACATACACACATACACACCCTCAGCAGGACCACTTTGGTCGGGTTTTTGAGGATCTCTGTGAGCGGGTTGGCTTCTGACTTCTTGGAAGAGTCCGCTGGTTGGATGGAAACAGACATCTTTTTAAAGAATATCCACAGGCTGCTGGTGAACTGGCTAACAATAAGTTTTATAGTATTGAGCTTGATTCCCGTAATAGATTAAACAATTCAGAAAAGTCTTTTGTTCAAAAGCGTTTACTGAGCCGACACAGTTTTCCTGTCACGTCTGGCATATTTTAAAGCACTGCTTTTTATTGTGTTGTAGATGCTGCTGAGGAAACACTGCAATTCTATTAGTATGACTAAGCAGCAGCGGGATACATGTCTTGCTCAAAAGAACACTGAAAATGTATGCATATACATACACAGAGCATATTACATCTCAACAGTCCCTAAACTCTGACAAAGACCAGTTGTCCCAAAACTTGTAACAAAGTGGCAACAAAGAGGTCCTGAACTCTACTTCAACTTGAGGGGAATGGGGAGAGAACATCTGAAGAGTGACTGTATTCTCATCTAAACTCTTGTCCTGTACACACTAGACAGTACTGATTACAGATTCCTGCACACTGGCTGCAAATCCCTGTAAAATATAAAGTCATACAACTGCGGCAGTTTTGCTGAAAACAAAGCAGTGATGACAGATGATCAAACCGTGACATCTAGTGGTTGAAAGCAAACACTGCATCCAGAAAGAAGCAACGGGTGAAGTCCACTGTTTTCATTTCAAAGCACTCAAAAACAGAACGCCACACTCCTCGTTAACCCATTTCATCTCTCGTTTACGTTTGCTTTCACATTCTACCTCTGAGGTCACAGTCTGCGCTGCGTGTTTTCTTATTGTCGCTAACATTTACAAACTAGTGGAGTTCTGAAAGGGACTATTCTAATCTTCAAGGCAAGATTAGAAGATTGACATTTTGGGAAATTTGCTTATTCGCTCTCTGGAGAGAGTTAAATGAGAAGATCGGGTTCCATCTCATGTGTATACGGTGATTAGGAAGCAACAGCCAGCAGCTGGTTAACTTAGCTTAGCATAAAGTCTGTAAGCGGGTAACAAAATCCACCAACCATGCCTCTAAAACTCACTAATTAACAGTATATCTTATTTGTTTACTCCGTGCAAACACCGAAAAAGGTAAATGCTAGATTATTTGTAGAAGTAAATAAGCGTTGTGGATTTAGCCTAATATTATTGTCTTGAGGTTGGGAAAATAATCAGAAAACAATGCAAATTATAGGCAATGAGAGGGAAAATAATGGTCAGTTATGACCTCAGTTTGGGCTGACAACAAATACGTTTAGTGGGGTAAACAAAGACACGATTCAAAGCAACATTACGAAACGAGTGAAGACTGCAGTGTTACATTCAGCGTGGGCGACTATTGAACTCATTGCCATATCATTTTAACACAGAACTCCTTGCACTGCTGTTTAAATAAACACATACATGGATAAAACACATGCAAACACACACACGCTGCTAGAATAAAAGACAGACAGGACGCTACACTGTGCGTAATGAAAAAAATAAATAGAGAAAATGGGAGTGACGGCCAACCTGCAAAGCCTCCGACTGAAGTCTCAGCAGCAACTGTCTGGCTGGACCCTGCTGCTCAGTCACACACACAGACAGACACACACAAGTACACAAAATGAAAAAGACATGCACACAGAGTCACAGTAAAACTGATCAAAACTGATCCTGGAATGACACCATGATGGTCACTGATGAGTGTAGAGCAATGATACACTAACACTTCAAAACACTTCTGTTGAAACTGAAAGTCAATGTTTGACAGACTGAGACCGAACGCACGGTCTGGAGGAGACACAAGCAAAGGACGGTTCATGCCGATGACAGGTAGAAAGGACTTGAAGGAAGTGGACAAGGACAGAGTGAGTGTGGCATTTATAGCATTGATCATGAGGAGAATGTGCAGCAAAAAACAAAACACACACGCACAGAGGTGGTACTCACGTTTCTCTGCGGCGTCGCCTATGATGATCTTTCCACCTCTCTTGCTGGTCTTCTCCACAGACAGCGCCGTGCTGAGGCCCTGCTCGTGCTTCCCCAGGCCCTGGCCTTCTTTGAAGCCGTACTTCTGCATGATCTTATGGGCCACCGTACCTCTGTGGGGGTTCAAAAGCGTGATTTGTTGAGATATTAAAAAAATCGATTTAAGTTATGACTTAAAAACATATATTGCCTGCCAGTTGTGTGTGCATCCCACACACCCCATGTTGGCCAGGAAGGAGCTGGTTGGTACGGGCGGTGAACGTGGCCGCTCTGAGTCCTCGTACATAGGTGGAGGGATGGCGGCCTTTGAGCCTCTGGCAGGACGGCCTTCATCCTCGTAGGTGTACGATGAGCCTAAAAGCACAACCGTTACTGACATGTGGTGCATATTTACTGTTGTTATTCTTTGCATGTAGTTTGTATTCTGTTTGGTCTTCTTTGTGATTTTAAACTGACATTCACAATGTTAAAGACACCTCAAACTCTGACGATGTAGACAACGCTGCCCTCTGCTGTAGACAACCTGCTACTAATTAAACATTATACCGCGCTCACGTATTCCACACACAAGCGCCATGTGTGGTTAACTGTTACATGTAACGTGACATTTCAGGGACCAAGACAGGGGTACACGAGCCTCATTTTCCACCGACTAACCAAAAGAAACGTAGGAGCATTTCACACAGGATTACCACCGAGCAGACCGCTGTTCCTGCTCCATTTTGGTTTTCCTTAGACTAGTGATGATTCTGAAGACTTACCATCCTTGTCCACGAGTGAAGAAGGAGGGGCGATAGCTGCTCCACCCATCACTGGCACACGCAGAGAGAGGCAAAGAGAGGCAGAGAGAGAGAGAGAGAGAGAGAGAGAAAGAGAGAAAGAGAGAGGATCCATCACGTCAGACAGGTGAAGTTTAGTTTTCGTCTCGTTTGAAACATGGTGACTGTGATACACAGCAACTGAATTCAATGTATCTTATCAGACACCGCACTGCTATGTTTCCACATTATTATGCTATTCATCAAAGAGTAAAATGTTTGATATATTTATCTATACTCGCTATTTGTTTTACTGGCTTCATGATTCACGGCTTGTTACCAGACTCAATGCTGTCTGTTCTCTTAGTGCCAGTCATTAAAAACAAAGCTGGTAAAGTATGTAGCCTAGAGAATTACAGGCCCATTGCTTTGGCCAGCGTACTGTCAAAAGTCCTCGAAAGAATCCTGCTGGACAGAATATATGACTTTATCACCTCCACAGATAACCAGTTCGGCTTTAAAGCCAAACATGGCACTGACTTGTGTATATATGCCTTAAAGGAAATTGTCAACAAATACAGAGGTCAAAACTCATCACTTCTTATGTGTTTTATTGATGCCTCCAAAGCTTTTGATCGTGTTAATCATAGTAAGTTATTTTTTAAACTGAGTCAAAGAGGTGTCCCCACATACATTGTGAGAATTCTGGCTTACTGGTTGTATGCACAAGCAAACAGTCTCTCACGCAAGTTTGGTATGTGTACAGATGGAGTGAAGATGTCTCTGTTCAGAGCATATTGTACACCACTCTACACTGCACACTTGTGGTCAAACTACAAAAAACAGAGCTTACAGAGACTTCAAGTAGCTTACAATAACGCCATGAGAATACTGTTAAAGAGACCGAGATGGAGTGGTGCTAATGAAATGTTTGTGGCTGCACGAGTCAACACTTTCCAAACTGTTTTAAGAAATCTCATGTATAAATTCATCTGTCGACTGAATGACTCTGAAAATGGGATTATAGTTGTTTTAACCAACATAAGGTTTAGCACCACACGCTGCCAGTCCCAGCCGTGGCAACATTGGTACAGCTGTCTCTTTGTAAGGCATTGCTAGGCCTATGTACTTTTATTGTTTGTGTTTGTCTTTTGATGTATTTGTCTCTATGGACCCTGAGTCTGAAATAAAGTCTATCTGTCCATCTATCTATTTACATACCTACTCTCAACCTGTAACCTAAGAAAAGCATGTTAAGCTCACGCAGAGACTCTGTGAGGAATTATAAGCTTGTGTTTAACGGGGAAATTCCAAAATGGATTTCTTTCCCTAAAAGTGGAGAAAAACTCATTCGGAGAGAATTTGGTTTTACGTCAGGTGCTGACAAGTTATGTCAAAATCATCTTGGCAAAGTTGGCCTTCAGGCTACAGCTCTGAAAACATTAAACCATCCACAGATAACAGATCCACGTATATTCCTACAGGCGCTTTACATGTGCGCCATGTGAGGTAAAATAACTCACTCCGTTTCCTCCGCTCTGTGTCGAAGTCGTCCTCCTCATCCGACTCGCCCTCTGCTGCAGGGAAACGAGAGAAACCACTTGGAGCTCCGCCTTCTGGCCTGTCTTTCCTCTTCCTGCAACACACCAGGTTCAAGATTCAGACAGAGCTCCTGTGTTCTGATAAATATTCAGGATTCAGGATTACTATTAGATGAGAAATATCTAAAGTCCTACAGGACTTTTCTGGGTTTGGTCCCATGTTGTTGCTACAAACACACAATTACAGGTGCATCAAAATCCACCCGGATGCTGAACAGCAGCCATTAGGGAAAAGACAACAAGGGATTTGAGTCATGACAGTACTTTTCTCTCTCCTCGATCTCCTTCTGCCGCTCCTGCTCCCTCTGGCGCTGTCGTTCTTCTCGGTGTCGCTTCACCACTTTCTCGTAGTCGTTGGGGAACATCGGATCGTACTCGTCCGCCAACGGGATCAGCGCGTCACCAGAAGAGAAACCACTCGGCACGGCTTCCTGAAGCGCGCACACACGCACACGCGCACACACGCACACACACGCACACACACGCGCACGCACACACACGCGCACGCACACACACGCGCACGCACACACACGCGCACGCACACACGGCCCACAATATGAGAGTTAGAGATTTACCGATGCAGCTGTAAAACTACTTTGATGAGGATATTTACATTAATTTTCAGCAGGTATGGAAGGAGTGTTCATGCAACTGGATCACAACACCACACAGTGCTCGGTTACATATTATTAACATTAGGTACTGAACATTTTCACTCTGCGTCTTTGGCTTACAACCAGACGAATCAAAGCAATTTCAACATTACAAACATTTTATAAACTCAGAGGATTTCATAAACACTGATAACCCGGGGTCACTGGATAAGACAGACCTTAAGTCCAGCGGCAGCATGTGGAGGAGTGTCTGTGATCTGTCTGTCATCACTGGAGCCTCCTCTCTTTAGATCAATAACCGGAGCCAAGACCGTGGTCTGCTTCATCCGCTGGGTCTACACACACACACACACACACACACACACACACACACACACACACACATTGAATAAGTCCACATTGGTGTTTCCATGTTGCAATTGTTTGGCATTCTGAACACTTTTTCTAAATTTTACATTAGCTTGGTTACATGTTATTCTACATCGTTTATAATCTCTACTGTATATGCACTCTCTTCTTTCACTAATATCAACAAGGTATCCTCTGACAGACGTGTTTCTCCTTCATTCTCCATCTATTGTTCGTGTGCACTGTACTTGTACTGCACGTAACGTTACCCACCTTGGCCTGAGTCAGAGCCGCCTTCTTCACCTTCAGCTGGGACTGCAGCAGCTTGAAGTTCTTGGACCAGCCTTCGGTCTTGGTGTCACTGGCGCCCACGCCGAGGTCATCATACAGCGACATCGCTGCCCGTCAGTGCCTCTGTTTCCTGCAGCCACGTTTCATTTGATTTGACGTTAGCATCATTTCGTTCTGCAATACTTTGACAGAAATTGAGTCTGTACCTGAGCAGCAGCCTAATTGAAAAGCTGGTTCACTTTTGTTGTATCCAAGTGTTTTATTCATGAACGATTCAATGCAACATGTCGAAATATCACTTGCTATATTTAGTTAATGTAGACCTATCTTAAACTCAAACAGACCAGGAAAAACTGGCTAAACATCAATTTAGCTAACGTTAGCTAATGCTAATATAGCTAATTTGCTGTCTACGTCTAAACAAATTATGTTTAAAAGAACCGTATTATTAACCTACCGGTTTTTAGAAACACCTTGGCATTAACTACATGTAAGTGCCTATAGCATAAAAGGAGTTTAGAGGAACATTTGATGTGGAGCTATCTCCTCGCTGTACGAGCCGGAAGCCGACAGCACAACAACAAAACTAAGCGCGACAGTCCAGTCGCTCGACGGCACTTTCCGCTCTTGCCCCACCTAGCGGCTGGATGACTTTATCGTCACCACTGTATTACACTACAATGCACTCGCACCAGAGCAACACGGAGCAATGCTTTTTTTAATGGCAGTTCTGTGCCCTCGCATAACATAGCATGTATTATCGTGGTATGTGTTTGTTCGAGTGGAGGGAGAAAACGTCAGCCTGCAGCCGAAACGTGGGCCAGTGTGGGCGTAGGACTGACCACGTGATTCACGGCTTCGCATCATATAGGTCAATGGCAAACAGGAGTGGCACTTAATTAAAGCGAAAGTGAGTGGCACAACTAAGGAGCAACAGGGCAGTGGGCAGTGAGGATGATCTGTACAGGTCATGGTTTGCTTGGCGAACATGTTTTATGAAGTCTCCGCAGAGCAGTCAGATGGATCTGGGTTCCCCTTTTGCTTTATTCTCTGTCTGCGTTCTGACGATCTGTCTGCTCGGGACTGCGCGCTGCTCCAACGGTGAGTGCAAAATATACACACTTTATATATTTGATTATGTTCAGAACTCTCTTTAAAGAATATTCATTATACGTTAATGTGATCCAAACGGTACTGCAATGTAATAACCATTAACTAACCCAAACCATTCAGTATTGTTTACTTTTTTTATTGTTATCATCGTTATTATTATTTTAACTTTCGCTCTCTGCCGCGGTTAGGTAAAGTTAGAACGATATTGACAGATTCGGACTTCCCGGTTCAATAAATCGTTAACGAAACGTTACCGGGAAGTCCGAATCTGTCAATATCTTTCTAACTTTACCTAAGTCTCAGGCGCTATGGTCTAAGAGGATTTGTGTAGTCAGTGTGATTAGACAAAGCAAACGCATTTATAACAACACATTAAAAACACAATTCAGTCAATAAAAGCAATTAAGAAAACATACAGGCAACACTGCGATAACCAAATAGCCCTATGTGCGTGAAGAAAGTCACACATCAGAAGGAATGCACAGGAATGAAGGCTAATTGTGTAGACCTGGGAGACTGGTCAGGGGTCAAGGAGAATAAACAGATACTTCATTTTCAGTTTCAGTTTTGCGCCATGGTTTTTTTTTTGTATGAAATCTAAACCTAGAGACGCAAAAAAAAAGAAAAATAGTTCTTGTTTTTCTTTTCCTCTTTTGAACAAACACCTGAAGGAAACAGTGGGATCCTTTTTAAATCTCGGTAAAACAGAGTTTGAAGAGAGAACTACTCTTTTGACCTGTGCTAATGTGTTACTGAGTAATCTAGAGATAGATGTACTGTAAAACAGTTTATGGAGTCACAGTAAAGCAAAACGTTAACAAACCTAATGACGCAGAATCGCCTTACAAAAAACCCTGCATAATCCAACAAGACTTATTCACAACTGATATATTCCACAGCCACTTTTTTGTAGTTCTGCAGAGGTGTTTTCCTTTGTTATCTAAAACTAACTAACAATGATGATAATAATAATAATAAAATGAGTGAACCATTTTATTGTTTCTCTTGTTGCTACTTCTGTGTGGACATCTACAGTACATTGTAAATTTTGCCACATGATGTTTTTTTCTTCCAGATAAAATCCATTGTCCATGTCTAGAAGTTCCCAAAAGGAATCTAACTCTACTTGCAACAGACACGTGCTTCCAAATTAACCAGACTTTTCGCTACAAGTGCAAAGGAGGAACTGTGAGGAAGGTGGGAACTTCCGGTTTGATCAAATGCACGCAAACTGACAATGGTACTGCACATTGGGTCCCGTCCAACATCAGCCTCAAGTGTATACGTAAGATTTTATTTGTTTTTCGTCTTGATTCACGACATCCACGATCCAGTAGGAAAGCTTTGCCTTTTTCTAGTGATAGGTCCAGGGGATCTGACTTGAAAACATGTAAATACGTTTGGGGTTTCATGTCCCTTTATTGGATCTGAATTCAGAAGCAAACACAAAATGGAAGCAGCTTTTATAATCCAACCCTCAAGTTCAATAACATCCACCAAAATTGAAATCAGAAAGGAGCGATCGGAAAACACCGGATCAGCCGCACTCTTGATGGCATCAATAGTCATCCCCTATCGGGCCTTCTCTTACACCCTGACAACCAGCTCAAAATACCTGGGTTGCTTGAGGCAACATCACACAAACATCTTTTACGTATACACACGTATGTTTGCACTTGAGGAATTAGAATGATTCATGTAAAAAAAGGCCCATTGGTGTCTACTTACTGTTCACAGCCACCCGCATGTGGTTTGTTTGTGTGTTTGTAATGATACACGTCACCTGATTCTAGTGGAAATGTCCCCAGTCATACAAAGTATGTTACTTGGTGGAAGGGAGGGAGGGAGTACTGTATGAGGACTGAAACATTGCTCTATGACAGCAATTTCAAAATGACACTGACTTGATCATCGGGAGATGCACCGTAATATGTACTTGTATGTACAGCACAATGTCTTTGTTGTAACTCAATCGATTTGTACTTAACTGCCAGAGAACATTGTTGTATTGTTCCACTGTGCTGTACACAGTTTGGATTTTGTAAAACAGTTAGGTGGGTTGTACCTTCGCAAAACTGCATTTTAGTTTTCTTTTCTCGTCGTACTGATCAGATAAAATCTTTGATTTGCTCCATGTGGCAGGCAAAATGTCACACATAGCCGATCCGGTTTAGCCGAAATTTGAGTATGCAAAGCGTCCTGCATGTCAAAATAATGAATGAATGGATGCCCACAAACAAGAAATGCAAAGAGTGCAAAAAGTCAAACCTGCACAGCATTCCAATGTGGATTTTGTATTCAAATGTCCAAGTCATTCAGTACAGCCCTTATCTTAACACATTAACCACAATATGATAAGCAGACAGAGAACAATAAATAAGAGCATGTATTTTGCACCTCACCCCCCCCCCCTCTGTTATAACCTTCCCTCCATCTTTTCCATAGACCTTAAAATAACCCCCTACACACAGTGGGTTAAGTGAGTTAAGAAGCATCTCTGGAACTCACTTCTAGAGTTCGTCAACTCCTGGGCTCCCCTAGACCATATGAAAAAATATGCCCGAAGCATTCTGAGTGCACAAGATGCACTTTGGTCGCAGTATAGATGTTGTTTTATGCAACGTGTCAGGATTGAATTATGTTCTCTGCATCTTAAATAAATAACTTGATGGTTGAGGAAGATTGTTGAATGTTCAACCAAGTGAGTACATTTTATTTCGGAGATCTGACTAAAATTATTGAAGATACCAAAAGCCTGTGTTTCAAACTAAGGTTGTTGGTGTTTTTTTTGTAGCTTATTCATACTGAAGATGATATGATTTCAGACGATGAACAAACTGCTCAGCTTCTTATTCATTGTTTTTCAGCTGACCCAAGCAGAACCACAACACAACCACCAGAGAGCACAGCAACAAGTAAGTGGAAGCTCTAACACAACAACTCTAGAATGCATGTGCACTGTAAAGTTGTAAAATGAGCTGGAGAGAAGTATTTGTTTCATATTGATGATTAATAATATTCTGATCTTGCAGAGGCTCACACTGACATTCCCCATGTCTCCACCATTGCCACCACAGTCAGTGAGTTCTTTATCTGTATGAAAAAACTACAATAACACTAATAGACTAAAAATAAATAAGTAGGCTACTAATGATGAAACTAAACAGACAATATATCTGTCTAAATGTCTTGTGTTAGTAGTGGTTGTAGTAGTCGTGTTAGTAGTAATGTTAAGAAGCAGCAGCCTTAATGGTTGTAGTACTTCTACCAGTAGGAGTAATGCTGTATTCACATGGAATCAGTCAAAAGGCACACGGAATGGCAGGTTGATATGTTGCTGTAGAGAAGAGAAGCCCCTCCTCTTCTGGTGTACCCCATGGGACCTTATTTCAGAAAGAAACCATGTAGGGTAGTCAACATCGAGAGACAAACATTTTTTTTGATCTTGTTTGAATCGTGGCATGAATTACACATATGATGTTTGTCAATTTACAATGTCATTTTGCAAGTTAATAAAGCGGCAGTTTATCGTAGCTTTGTCTTAGTATCATATAGTTCTGTGTGAAACCGCTCAATCTACAGCTCCCGTCCTGCTCTCGTCCACTGTTATAGACCTAACTAGTTATTTAATTCTGACAAACTGTATTGGTTGCATTATATTATGAAGAACCTCAGCACAACGATACAACCCAGAAAACCTAAATGTCACTTAGCCATTACGTTATGGTCATTAATTACTTCCATGTTTCAAGTCAAGATGTCCATCCTGAAAATGGTCTGTTGTTACATACCGTTACTGCTTAAACTTATTAAACCTATTGTTCAATGAGCTTTTCCCCCTGGCCGTTTCAATATAATCAGACTGCAATGATGGTATTATACTGGCAGGATGTACTCATGGTAAAATAGTAGTTCAAAGTACTTAAAAGCTTCCCTCATAAATATCTTTATTAACAATTGGTCTAATGACTACATATGATATGATATGAAATATTAACGCCAAGAAAAAAAGCCACACTTTAAAAAGTCAAAATATACAAAAACAGTCCTTGTAAGTAATGAGAGTTAACATGATCAACCTCATGGCAAACATGTTGACAAGAGTCACAGTAGGAAAACCACAGGTGTTAAAATTGTTTTTTATAAATGCTGAATTTGTAGTCACCGGCATGACTAACTGGTAACACCTAAATGGAACAAATAGAAAGGTATTCTTGTCACTTCCTCTCCCAGTAGCAGTAGTAGTAGGAGCACTATAGCTGGTAGTAGTACTTATACCAATAGTAGCATTATAGTAGTCGTAATGATCGTCGATATACATGTACAGTGGTAGCAGAGTTGCGGTTGTCGTAGCGGCACATGTACTTTTAGAAAACTTAGTAACAGCTGTTGCAACAGTAGTATTGATATGAAACTGTGTAACAAACTAACACAAAGCCTTGCATGCATTTTCCATCTTTTGTTCTTAATTAAGTGGTATAATTATATATCAGAGTACGTCTGTACCACACAGTCACTTGTTAACTGTCCATGCATGCAAGATACCCACACACCTGGAGTCCCAAAAATCCCAGTATGAGTTTGTCTTCTTCAGCAGTAGTTTTACAAATGAGTAGAAGTTAATGTATTTTCTTATCAGCAGCAGCTTCGTCCAGTCCACAGATGACCCAGAGTTTAAGCCCCTCAGCCTCAGTTCCTGCAGAGCCAGACAGGCCCGCGCCAACCTCACCTGGTCTGCAGGCCCCGTCAGGTCGCACGCAGGGTAAATGGCTTACAGTCACGTGTTGCTTGTAACTGAGAATGCATCAGGTCAAAAGATTTTATTGGCCAGGGCCTGTGTCAGTAAAACTTATAAGAAAGAGAACATTCATGCACACCTTGTCAGATAACAGCACATAAATGGACCCGGTTGTTTCAGATTATGGGTTTTTAAAAGAAGAAAACCTCTGACAGTGGACATGTATGATCGATCATCCTTTATGTACAACTCACGCTGCCTTCATCTGCCCCTGCAAAACTCTTCATGAATAACTGACCTACCGGGAAAAATCATACTCGTTTTTTTCTTTCACAGCAGGAAAAGAACAAGATGTGAGGAAGACCAAAGCGACGCACCGGACAACAGTAACCTCAACCACCGCTGAGCCTTCGAACAACGGGGCACATGATGCTCATGTGTTCCCCCCCGCTGCCCACAGTAAGCTTCCACACTGTTTTTGTACCCGTTTGTGCCAAAAGTCAGACTGGTGATGTGCGTACCTTTGAACATTTAATGTTGAGTATTTCTCCCCTATCTGCAGCGGTGATCGGCTGTGCTTCGGTGGTGATCGTCTGTGCTTTGATCGGAATCGGCTTCTATTGTTATAGACGGTGAGCTACGGGCAAAGCATGTTAACATAACGGAGGGTTTGATTGGACAATTTATTTGTATGTGTGGAATTATGTTCACACCACACGTTCTTTGTTTGTTGTGTGGCAAACTCTTTTTTGTTGTTGCAGTTTATCCATCAGAGATCACACAGTAGTCCAATGTGCCCTCTTATCGTTTCACTGATGATATCATCACTGCCCTCTATGTGCTGTAGGAGGTCAAACAGCGACGAACCACCACAGATGCCAGAAGAATCGATACCCATGAATCCGTCTGAGCACTGAGCAAGCGTCATCGAGTTTGACCCGCCGCTGTCACAGAGAGCAGCGGCAGAGCCTTACTGGAGCTTGTGGGATCTTCCCCATGTAGTGAAGAACCCATTTGATGTTATTTTAAGCGTCACCAGAGAGCATAATAGCTGGCTTCATTATGACATTTGTTGTTTGCACAATCTCCAGCTGTTGAACTCACAACATCTCTATGTGCAGATCTCAACTAAATATTTCACCTGCGCATATGGAACTTGAATTTCGAAGACTCCGACTCTGAACATGGCTGCAACAGTCTCTTGTTACCGCCGTGGGTCCTTTCCACACAAAGACACCAGCACCTCTCAAATAGCGTTTAGTAATGTTCTTTATTGTTGCTCTCGGCCGTGCGCTCTCCTGCCGTGCGCACCGCCGTACATGCACGTCTGTCGTCCTGCCCGTCGCCCTGTCAGCTCCTGTCTCCTGCTTACTCCTCTCTTGCGCCTCCGTCCCTACTAATGTTTATATAGGGGGAGAGACAATCAAGGACCAGTTTCAGCTGCGGCTAATCAAACCTCTTCACGGCACCGTTCCCTGAACCACTGTCCCCTCTGCAGCTGCGCCCAACCACGCCCAGCCACCACAATGGCATTTTTTTTTTATACTTCTGGTGATATTCTGTATGCTAAACCCAACAATGAATTCACATTGCTTTGTGCAATAGAGCTCCATTGTTCTCTAAAAGCGATTAAAAGCACATCACTAGGCCGCACCTATACCCTGGGTCACATGTTCCTACTTCACCGTTCCTTCAGCTGTAAATAGTCATTAGCTGACCTAAGCTGCATTTAAAATATACTATTACTCATAGTAAAAGTTGTGCCCAGCTGTTATAGGGAATTATTTAGCCTTCTTAGGAATAATTCCTGTTTTTCAAGATTTATATCTGAAGTTTAACCAATTTGCTTGGTGCTAAGAAGTGCCCTAACCAGGCGGGGAACATTGGAAGGTATTGAGAGACTAATTGCTGGTTTTGCTCTTTTCATAGGAATGATTGACAATTAAGAACATAGAGTAACTCCAACCGCACCCTTTAAAAGTATACAGCAAACTGTGGAAGTTATTAAGCCTTGTATATGCGAGTTGTATCTTTGGAAATTAATAAGTTGGAGTATTAAAGAATTAAAGTGTTTCCACTAGCAAACTGGAAATAAAAGGACTGATATTTTGTATGAGCAGGCAATAAATTCAAGTTGGCCGAGCTGTTTCACCATGTCAGAGGCAGAACTAAAATAATGTACAAAAATGAATGTATGCAAGCACTTTTTATACATTCTTCAACTCATTTGGACAAGTTAGCAGGCTAGCTAAGTAGCTTACCGAAAGAGCTAAAAGCTAGCATGGCCAGTTCTGAACTAAGCTAGGCTAATTAGCACACATGGCTACATGGCTACTGTGGCTAGTCTGCAGTTCTTCAGCTTGTTACAGAGCATTAGGCTTCATCATATCATCTCTTATCATCTTTACTGAGCTCATTGTGACATTGTTGAACCAGAGAGATACTTTGTTTAGCCAAGTACATGCTAGCTGTTGGTACTGAGCCAGGGACACTGACCTGTGTGTGTGTTAGTGCTTATGTGTGTCCAACCCTGTCTTTTAGAAGGGTCAGTTCACCCACATCATAAAATAAATCATTTTTTCCCTCATTAAAGGGTCCAGGGGCGTCAAAAATATACAGATATTTATGACAACGGAAATTCTAAAATTAAATATTAATATATTAATAATACACATAGGATAATATTGTGTAAATAATCCAGCGTCTCTTAAATGATTTTATATATACGTTTTTTGTTACAGACTCTCCACCTCCCTACACTTGTAATTTGCGCAATAAACTAAATTTAAGTGATAGCTATATGATTTTATTATTTTTTGAATTTATTTTCTAGATATCCTAAAGATTTTGTCAACATTAACTATTTTGACCAAGATAATTGTGTTGTGAAATTTTGATAATGTGACATCCCAAATCAATATATATAGTACAATGAGGACAATGGTGTCTTTTATTGTCTCGGATAACCAGGGTTGTCCAAAATGAGAACTATTATTAGTTTTCTGTGTATAGTTGGGAAATAGCCAAAATGTAACCAACCTGGTGGAATAACAAGTCTAAAAATACAGGAAAAAGAATGTAAAACAAGTTTTGAATTATCGAAAAAAAATCTTGGAAAATGACCAATGACGTTAATCGTAGCTGTGGTTAGAGACATGTCTGATGTCAGTCGCCAAACCAAATTGTTTGCCGTTTGCTCCTGCAATATTTAGACACCAGTGATTAGTATGAATGATAATGCAGAAGGAAGTTACCGCCTGTATAAACTTCCTCCACTGCCCCACTTCCCCAGACAAAATCGGAATGAGACACGTTTGCTTTTGAATATTGTGTCACTCTCAAAGCATCCTCTTTATGGATTGTCATAATGTAAAATATATTCTGGTAGAAATTGTTAGCTTTTACAACTACCTGAATACATAATAGATATCCCTCGGATGCCTGTAAGACTTTATTATGACACGTCCCTCATAGTTCAATCATGATCAGCCTCTTAAAAGATCACCATGAACATCCGCTGGAACCTCACTGATTGGGGTCAGCAGCTATTAAAGGCAGCTTGGATGGTTTTAGTGGCACCCTGGGTTCAAATCTAGTCATGGGCTTTTCTCATCCCTCTTGACTTTCATTGTATTTTTTGTTGCTCCGCACTGTCCATTTGTATGATGATTAAAAAATATTCTTTAAAAAACATTGGTCGAGTGTTGCAAATTAAGGACTAAACGACTCCTGTAGTTCCTGATAATAAAATCCACTTACAAGTCTGAACTGTTCAGACATAAATGAGTAACATCGTCTTGTTCCTCTACAGATGGTGTTCATTTCCCCTGGAATGAAGTTCTTTGACTTTAGCAGTTCCAAAAATAAAGTGGAGCATTGCGTAGTAAAAACCTTGCCAGGCAACATTTTCTGGTACATTTTCTCACAGTTCAGACTAAAACTCACAGCTGGTCATGTAGTGTAGAGATCATCTGCTAGTCATGATAAAATAAAAGGTTGTCAGTCTCAAACACTTAAGGGCAAACAAAGCTCACAGCCAGCTAAGAGTAGCCTGTTGTACATGGCGTGGTACTTTTAATACTTCTAGGATATTTGACAAAGCTTTCTCATTTCCAGTAAATGTACTGAAAGGCTTTTGAGATCATGGGCCATTATCTGAATTCCTGTTTGTTCCCAAGGAGCCGAGGCTAATGGGTAGCAGCTGTTCGGCAGGAGGATCTTGGACAGAATTCAGCAAATCCCACTGCTGTCCAACCTATACTACTGCAAAGTTTGTACTACTACTACTGCAGTGCAAACGTGTACTCTCCTTCCATCTGTAATAGAATATGTTGGACCTATGCAAGTTTTATCTCATTTAAAAATTCACAATACACTTTTTTTTTTTTTATGATTAACAGCGAAAAAGTCAAGAACCGGCAGTTTTCTTTCTGTTTTTTTAAATAATGAAACATTCAACACACAATCACAGAGTGCTCTCCAATGAAACCTCAGCCCTACTGATGGCCACTGGGAGCTGGAAGCGTTATAAAAAGGCATCTCAACTGGATATTACAACATCCGATTCCCTTCGGCTCACGGATAAAAACACACACACACGCACACATAAAACCAGTCACGTTTTCAGAAAACTAAAACCAGTGTCAGTCTGTCTCATTGTTGTCTGCGAACACCGAGCGTTGCTTGCCGGCTGTTGACTTGAAAGTCTCTTTTTCATCAACGCACAAAAGATGGCGGATTTCTTGTTTCGAAGTCCTTGAAGACGAGCGTCGCTAGAAAAGCCCCCCGAGCATGTGGTGGTCATGGTGGCCGAGTCCTCGCGGTATTTCAGCCATCGAGAGCACGTCGTCGGTCATGAGGAAGGCAGTCGACCCGATGCGCGTCCACACACACCTCTCGCACAACGGGCCGCCGGCAGACACGCCGTCGGACTGGATGAGGACACAAGAGGGAGAATTTTAAAAAAAATTAAGGCATTAGGCAATGACTCCTTCACAACCTTCACAAAATGCTAATTGGCTAATTAAGGCTAACAGTAAATCACCCCATGCCAGACACTGTGCTGTACTATATCTCGTATCTGGAGGCATTAGACTATTGGCTAGTTCCATCTTAGCGAGGAGTTGATAGCCTTACACATTTCATCTGCTGTTTGCACATGATGAACGCTGAGCCGGGCGTGGTGCAGTTGGGGCAGTCGGAGACACAGCACGGGAGCGGGTCGCCCACCTTCATCAAGGTGCCGGGCATCTCCGACTTCAGGAAGTATTCCTGGAGACGACAGGAAGTTATTGTCACATTTGAACAAAAACGTTTGGGAGACCAGCTCCAGCAACCGCTAAAAATGCAACATTCTGAGGCCAAGCGGCTGCGTTTTTTTGGCGCGACGGCTTCTCGGGAAGGGCCCAGCTGGTTGGGGCCCAATGGATTCTGTGCTTCCGGACCACACGAGCTGAGGCGGATCCACTACCAGGCTCTCTGTTTTATTGCTCACACTATCTCGCGTCGCATTACATATCTGGCATCTTTTTTTAATGCAGCACTTCCTTTTCTCATCTCTGCACTGTTCAGGCGCCAACGATAGCAATTCGTTCATACAACTCGTATGACAGCATTGGGGAGAAGAAAAAGAGAAGTCCGAATGGTGAAGCGCACACAAACTCTGCCTCAATTTGGTCTTTGCTTCCTTTGTTTGGTGCTTTTAGCGCGTCTTGATTCACCACATCTGCTCTGTGGAGACCATTAACTGGCTTTTCCAAAAGCACTTAGTCTTATCCGGGCCTCATAAAACCTCTTGATTGAGAAACCGTAAAGACTAAAAAGCAAGTTTTGTTTGACTTGGTGCTTCTGCTGTGGTAGGGATCCAGACTGTGAGCATGTAGTCGCATTTGGAGACACTGCGACTATATTTTCTAACCAGGAGCACCAGTGTGACAAAAATGACCAAATATGAGCCCTATTTTTATGAAATAATACAGGATTGCATATCATGCGGAGCACCAGGAGGGAGGGAGGGAGAAGAAAAAGCCTCAAGAGATTTAAAACATCACATAATCATAGTACCTTCATAAGACCTGACCACGCAATACATATGTACAGTTGTGTGAAAAAGTGTTTGCCCCCTTCCTGATTTCTTATTTTTTTGCATGTTTGTCACACTTAAATGTTTCAGATCATCAAACAAATTTAAATATTAGACAAAGATAACACAAGTAAACACAAAATGCAGTTTTTAAATGAAGGTTTTTATTATTAAGGGGGAAAAAAATCCAAATCTACATGGCCCTGTGTGAAAAAGTGATTGCCCCCCCCTGTTAAAACATAAATTAACTGTGGTTTATCACATCTTTGGAAAGCTGAGTTCAATTTCTCTAGCCACACCCAGGCATGATTACTGCCACACCTGTTCTCAATCAAGAAATCACTTAAATAGGACCTGCCTGACAAAGTGAGGTAGACCAAAAAAATATGAGTGTCACAGCAAAGGGTCTGAATACTTATGACCATGTGATATTTCAGTTTTTCTTTTTTAATAAACTTGCAAATATTTCTACATTTCTGTTTTTTTCTGTCAAGATGGGGTGCTGAGTGTACATTAATGAGAAATAAAATGAACTTTTTTGATTTTAGCAAATGGCTGCAATGAAACAAAGAGTGGAAAATTTAAAGGGGTCTGAATACTTTCCGTACCCACTGTATATTATTTGGTGTTTATGTTTAAAAAAAAAAAGAAGCTTTATTTGACTTCATTTGTTTCTCTTAAAGCACTTATTAAATTTGACTTTTCCTTTAAACAGTTTGTTGTCTTTTTTCTTTTTAGTCAAAGCATTTATCAGAGAACAGTTAAGATGGAGAAAAAAAAAAAAACAGTCTCGATCACTGTGTGTGTGCGGTTACCAACGTCATTTTTAAATGAACCACAAAGTGGGAGTGAAACTGTGCCTGAAAGTGCTTAGGCTTGCAGACCGAGAGGAAAGGGTTCGTTTAAAATCATCGTACCGTGTGAGACAAGATCTTTGACAAAACCACAGCAACATCCTACTTCTCTGTAAACACAACCATTAAGACAAGAAGAAACAGAAATAAAAACGGAAAAAACATCATGTGTTTCTGTTTGAGGTGTGATGTGCATTCTCACAATATGGCTCTAATTAGAACATGCAGTGGCCATGTGTGTGCGATTCGGTCTTACCCCAGCCACTGTGAGGATGCGGCGGATGGACTTGGTGATGATCAGAGAGGTCTTGGCACGAGTCACCGCCACATACAGCAGGTTCCACTCATCGTCCGCAATATCAGCTGAGCAGGGATGAGAAATATTCAAAGTTTTCAAACGTTCACCACTTTTAGAGTGATTTGAACTCTGCAATAAGCTCACATTGGTTGATATATTGGCGAGTGTCTACCAAATAACGTACAACGTAAAGATCTATGTAAAAAGAAAAACGTACAGAAGGAGAAGTCGGGATTGAAGTGCAGGTTGTGCTTTGAAGAGGGAACCTTTGCAAAGTCATCGGTCACCATCACGGTGTCGAACTCCAGACCTTTGGCCTTGTGGACGGTTCCCACAATGAAGTCTGGAAAGAAACCGGTCACATGATCATGATGTTACCAATGTTGCTGAGTCGAGTGCATTAGAATACTCATCTATATGAAATATATCATCTTACATCTTATAATGTACCGGTGAAGCTACAAATCCCAGTGGGAAAGAACTACAGCATATCTGTAATCTTCGAACAACCCAAGTTGAGTTTTTCAGAAAAATAAAAAGATTAATAATTTGTATTGTTATATAAAAATACTGCCGCTGAAAATAGTCCCAGATAAATACACCATTCACTCCCATTGGAGTAACATTTGTTAAAACCTACAGAGCCCCACTGTTTAGTAGATTACTGTCTTATTTTTTTTTAATGAAAGTATTTGTGATCTGCTTTTAATAATCTACAGCTTCATACAGAAGCAATGGGCTCGGGACTATTAAACACTGTAATCATTCTGTTATTTATTTCATGATTTCACATTGCATTTTGGAGGTTTGTCCCCTTCTGTGGTGTTGTGAGAGTCAATACGTTTGAGACCAATCAGTACTTCATTCATACTCGTTTGTACCTGCTTTGTGGAAGTCACCTTCAAAGCACATTTCCAGGCGCTTCGCCAGCTCGGGGATGCGCTTTCCGTACTTTTCAACGATGTTGAGTTTGGCGTCGAGCTCCAGGTCGTCGGTCTGTTTGACGTACTTCTTCAAGGCCCAGAAGGCATTCGGATTGTTGTTGGCGAAGCAGCGAATCAAAGGATCCCGGATGACTGTAGGAAGAGAACATTCAACATGCATCTCAAAGGGTTAGTATTTATAAAAATAAAAGAAACAGAGATCCCCCCCGTCGTAAACATGTGTATCTCACATTTTGTCCCTTCCATCAACTGATAGATGTCCAGGATCCGATTCAGGCCGATACCATCGACACCCTGAAGGAAAAGGCGGACCTGTGAGTGCCTGATAGATATCACATGTAACCCCCACGTGTCTCCCAGACATAAAACATGCTTGCTATTACTTCCTTAATCGTGTCCGTTAGTATACACTCACTCCTATGAAGTGGATGCGGCACAGCGGGTTGGAATCGGTGAGCCGGACGGCTTCGCTGAAAACACTGACATTGCATCTCGACAAGATGGCCGTCTTCCCCGGGCAAAGACTGACACCCGACCTCAAAGCCTCTCCGACGCTGTCTGCCGTCTCATCACACACGCCACCTGTGCAGTGGACAGGTAGCACACGGGACAAATATGGCACTCTCATGTTACGTCCACTTCCAGGGCTAAAAAGCATCTGTATTTTTGAAGCACCGTAAATGTTTCTAAGCCGACAACATATTTACAAGTTTGCAGTGGTTACCTTTTTGCTTTCCTCCCACGAGAATCTTCTCCACTCCCTTGCACACTTTAAGGATGGTGGCACCCACGTAGGCGATCTCGGCACCGAACCGGAAGCTCTGAACAGAGACATCAGTAGTGTGAGGGTTCATTTTTCTGATTCACACCGAACTGCTGAGAGTTACAACATTTCTATATATGTCATTCAGAATATTAATGAACAACCATTTGCTCTGTAAAGATACAGCGGAGTAATGGCATCCTGAGTAGAGAATGAAGTCACACTCCCTATGGTGAGTTATCATAAGAGCTTCTTTGTTATTTGTTCTAATAGCCGCACGGGACTGCGAGTCCCTCTGAAACGATTGGCCCTCATGCATGTGTTTATGTAGCAAGACCTTATGTTATGAATTTATCAGGAGCACCTGTTAAATAAGATTTACGTTGACTTATGGACTTTTATCCTCAATTTATAACAACAAAAAAAGCCTCAATCAACATTTCTTAATCCAACTCCATGGCCAGAAAAACCACCGTCAGCATGTCTCTTTTCTGATGAGTGTGCAATATACAGAGAACATTGTAGAGTTTTATTTTGATAACCCTAATCACTGTTGTCAAATATTTCTATTCAAAAATATTTTTTTGCAAAACTTTTGACATTTGTAACAAATAGGGACATTCAATTTTTACTAAATAACACATTTAGAAATTTAAAATATATTATTATTTAAATTGCGTTGATTTGTCGTTCAAGATAACCTAACTCTCTACACTGTAGGTGTGATGTGTGGACTTTAGAATCTTTCCACAATATGAGTTTACGTTTGTTTTTTACTACCATTAGCCGACAGGAGACAGAATGCTGATGAGAAGCACATTTTCTAAATGCCTCTGAGCTAACACTCATCATTGTTGATCTTATTATTATTATTTCTGGCATATTATGGGGCAGCAGCAGTGTTATGCATTGTTCAAATGATTCCTGCGAGTGGCACCCCTTGTGGAGCCGTAGTGTGTAATGTTTAGTGCTTGTGTATACCTGTGTCAGGTAGAAGATGTGCGTGTGCTCAACGAGGTTGAGCGCATTGACGGCTCCTTTGAAGGTGTAGATCTGCTGATGAGGATCTCCCACTAGGACTTTCCCACAGCTCTGCGACAGAAGCACATCCATGATGACTGAGAGGGAGAGAGAGAGAGAGAGAGAGAGAAGGAAGACGGCATCACCATCACAAAGTTGAGCACAATAATCACAAATAAGACTTTTCCCACAATCCCTGGACTGTGTAAACAGGTAGGGCATCGTTACCTGGAGTGCAGTCCTGGGCCTCGTCAATGAAAAGGACGTCGTATTGGTAAGACAAGCAGGGCTTGGGGACCTGCAGCTGCCATAACTTCAGGTAACCTGAGGATGAAAAGTTCCGTTGACCACTTGTGCAGCATTCCCTCCAACACTAGACCAGAATCACTTGAACCCATTGAAATCATCTGCTGTTGGCGTACCATCGTGGGTCATGTAGTAGGCGTCTACTTTGGTTTCATTGAGATCCTTCATTTTGTTCCAGATCCTCTGCGCTTCACGCGCAAACAACTAGAATTGCACAATGAAAAAAAAAAAAAAAAAAAAAAGACACCTGGTTTCAATGTGACCTTTGCAGCACTCACGCTTATTAGTCACTCGCACTAAAGTGGTCTTCATACCACTTTTTCATCCTCCAATATAATCTCCTTCCGGTCCTTGACCTTGCGGAAGCTGGGGACGTGTTCGACGGTGATGGCCTCGTCCGGCGAAGCCATGAAGGCGTTGAGAGTCGTGGTGACAACTTTGGCCCTGACGAAGCCGCCGCGGCCCTGGGGCAGAACAGAGTTGATGGCGAACGGGTTCAGGTTAAAGGTCAGCTTCTGGCGAAACTGGTACCTGCATCAGCGGGAGATCACGGGCGCACAACAAGGGATGTGGTTTTAAAATGGAAACAGACAAAAGGTGCCACTCTCTGTATTTATGAACACATTGAGAACATCTGAGGGGAAGGTCCTCACTTCCTCCCGACGTTGGCATAGGCCAATGAGTGGACGGTCTTGCAGGCCACGTTGCTAGGGAAACGGCGCTGCGCCTCACTGGCCACCGACTTGTTGAAGGCCACGTACAGGAAGCGGAGGTGCGGCCGCTGCTCGGCGTACTTCACCAACGTGGTCGTCTTCCCCGTACCTGCGGCGGACAACACGGACCGTTCAGCTACAATCGCCACCGGCGTCTGACCTGCACGGCTGGGCCCACATCGCACCTCGCGCAGCAGCACTGACACAAAACTGATGATTACTGTTCTCCAGCGGTTAAAGGCTGCAAGGTTCACAATGACACACAGCTTTCTTGCAACATGTAATTGCATTTAAAAGAAACAATGATTCAAATGTCAGATTTTATGAAAACATGTTTCACGATGTATTACTTAACCTATTTTTCGTCAACTTAAGAGCCAACATGCCACTGAAAGATACCCGTCATTGCCTGAAAAAGTCTTGAAAAGGAAAGTCTGGAGAGAGGGTTCCTAACCCACTAGTGTTCCTATTTCACACAAACACTACATGTGGCAAGGGCTACAGTGGATGGCGTAAAGTGCAAGTCAATGTTTTTATGTTTAGATGTAACTGCTGTGTGTCTGAGCCACAGTAAATAATAATAACAGTAAAAACAGTGTGAAAACCTACTTGGCAACTAAACAGATTCTGATCAGATTGTTTTCTATGCCACATTACTTATTTAATCATTGGATTTTTCTGTGTTCTTGACCAAGTTAAACATTTTATAGAAAGTGGACGGTCATGGTGCTGCCACTGCACCTGCAAAAGCCACGATCTTGACCACATGGTCCCCCTGGACGTCATGGCTGAGGATCTGCTGCTGTTCACCTGTGAGCTGAATCTGAGACCGCCTAGCAGAAACACACACAAGAACACACCAAACGGGGACTGTTAAAAAGGTAAAACTCCTCAGATATCCATTACTTCAGTCCACTTCCTCTTGGCGGATTTCTCATGCACATCAGTGACACCAATGCATTTTGGTCCTCACCGGCTCTGCCCGGAGCAGACAGAAAAGGGGCCGTTCTCCATCAAGTGAAGTATGTAGTAGATGTTGTAATGCAACCTGGAGAGACAAGAAAGAAAGAAAACAAATCACGAGTAAGCCGACGAGGAAGATGTGGGAATTTAAGGTCCCGACACCTGCAGCACTTACCGGCTGCTAATCTTGACCCAGCTCCTCTTCATGGCAAGCAACATCATGGCCATGTGGCTGAGGTACTCTATGATGGCGGTGTCCGACATGCAGCCGGTGAGCAGAGACACCAAGGCCTGCACGTCCCCGACGCTCTCACTCAGGAGCAATATGACCGCCATGGCCGCATACGGGTCGGGACCCTGGGGATTGGAAATGATGTGAACATCATTTTCTCCATATGATTACCAGAGGACCTTTGTGTATTTGTGTGTGTGTGTCATACCTTATTGCAGAGGTTGAAGAACTTCTGAATATCAGGAATACGTAATCTGATGGAGGCTTCGGCGTGAGGAAAAAGTCGATGTTTCTTGACACACTCCAGAACGTCCTCCGGCCTCACCCGCTCTCCGACCGTATGCTGAGCCATTAAACTGACCCAAACACACACATTGACAATCATCCAATATATATAAAAACAAAGACTTGCGTTAAATTTAGTTGAATTCTAGAATGTAGAGTGCGTTATTTAGTCTACATGTGCGGTTACATAAATGTCCCTTGCTAAAGGAAATGCAGACTTACACAACAAGGTGTCGCATGCTGTACTGTGATGATGCTGGATCTGTAATGCCGCTGTTCCTCAGGATGGAAGAGATCTCCCGCACCGTTTCCTTCTCCCTCGTCATGTAGCGGAAGTATTTTTTCTTGAAGGGGACGAACTGCACAAACATCCAAAACAACAATGTTCATTTTGCGAGCTTTAAATACCATTACGGCAATGTCCAATCACGAGAGACGGATAAACTACTCTCCTAAAAAACTCAACAGTGTCCACGCAAAGTTCATCTCTCAAACATTTTTTTTATTTTTTACATGGGAACTTGCTTAAACACATTTCTCCAGCAACTACACACTTGCTTCAACATAACCCCCCCTCAGCTTGCTGCTAATATGTAACTTAATGAAATTCTGTAGTTTGTTTGACCTTGGTGTCCTGGACGATGTTCCTCCAGTGATGGCAGACGCGGCTGACACAGCAGTAGAGGTCCCGGGCAGGGACGAGGCACAGTATTTGCCTCAGCACCTCCTCCGGAAGATCATCCATGCAGCCCTGGGGATCAAGCAAGATCTTCCTGCTACCCAGGAGCCCAAAGTGGGCATCAGGCAGGGCCTCCACCTCCTCCTCCACGTCGTGAATGTCACTGTCAAATTCATCATCATCTCCAAACATCTCTGCTGTGATTCCCTCCAGATGATCGACAGCGTCCTCCTCCTTTGGCACTAACTCTGCAGCTAAAAGGCTAACATCGTCGACCTCCTCCTCTTCTTCTTCAGGGTCTGCCGCCAACGGGACAGCTAACAGGCGGACATCGTCGTCATCCTCCTCCTCTTCTTTCATAACCCCCGGCTCATCTTCGGGAAAAAGCTTTCCATTGAGTCCATTTGTGCGTGTGGATGTGCAGGGCTGGGAGGATTTGTGCGGACTGGAACTGAGGACTCCTGTCACAGAGAAGAAGTTGCCGATGACCTTCTGTTGCCCGGAGGGACTTCCTGATGCCGATGCTGATGGTGTGAGAGAGAAAGAACAAAGATTTAATGTGTGACAACATTAGGACTTTCTAACCAAAGGCTAGTGAAGGAAAAAAATGCGTGTCAGGATTTTTACTGAAAATAATAACTTTTTTTCCCCATGCACAGATGTTACTTTGGGTACGATTTTGTCAAAACATTTGAAGCAGATGGTTTACAGCAGATTACCACACTTCCGTCTCTTGGTGGGGGTCCTGGGGTAAACCCGAGTGGGGTTGCGGGTGCCCTGCGCGTGGTTGACGGTTTGGGGCTGGGTGAGGGCGTTAGTGCCCTCTGCACTTTGTCCCAGGTCATCACACTGCCCCGCATTCAGGTGCCTCCTTTTGGCCTTTCCTAGAAAAACGACAACAGCAAACAACATTCAAGTCATGTCAGCACGACACAAACCACTGTATTAGGATTGTCCTTATGCAATGCAAGCCATTCTTTAGTCTACATATCTGAAAATGAATTGCTCAATCTTTAAAAGTGCTAAGGATAGCCAAATAGGCTAGTTTTCTACTCTCCATCTTCTCTTATCATTGACTCTCTTCAAAAGTTTGTCTACGTTTGGTGTTACTGTTCATTACCTGTATTTAACCCAGGTGCCAATGTCGGACTCAGACTTCACTAAATACTATCTCTATAACACAAAGTGAAGTTGTTTAAACGTTCTCTTTTTTTCTGACGGACGCGTTACGTTTAGTAAGCTAGCTAGCTAACTTAAGTCACTCGCCTCAACTTCGAACTTACCCTTAACAGCCATCTCCATCTTCGTGTCCAGCGCATCCGTCTTTTAGTCACAGAACTACGTGGCTAGCGTCAAAGATTCAGGTTTGGTTTGCTGGGGCCTAAAACAAACTCATTCGCGCAGAAATGCCGTCGTCGTAGCTTGCAGAAAAGATGCAGACTCGAAGTGTCGGCGCTAGGTCTAACGTTTATTAAGCCGTAGTAAACAACGACTGTTGTGCTAGCATACTAAGCTAACACTACTTCTCACTTGTGTTTCTAAACACCAACTTGTTCAGAAACTTAAACGTACCGCCCTGGAAGTAGTCAATTGACTCACTAACGTTGACATGCATTTATGTAGTATTTGTCGCTTTAGAAAACGCTTCCAAGTCATCAGCCAGCAACAATTTCGGCAGAGGTTTTCAACTCTTTAATTTGGTCACGAAGCCACAGGATTGGTCAGTGTTTGCGGTGTTGCGCACGCACACCAAAAGATGAATGCACCTCGCGGGGGCGCGCGCGCACAGCGTAAAGCGAAACTTACAAAAAATATATTTGAATGATTCCTACGGCAAAGTACGGTTCAAAAACGATATAAACGTCTTGGGGTTCATCAGTGATAACAAATAATGTAAAGTATATAGTTTATGAACATTTAGAGTCATCAAAGTTTGATTAGACTCAGTAACCGAGCATGTCCTTGAAGCTGCTGCTACAGACCTGGATGGGCTCACTGACACTGTGACATCATACATCAGTTTTTTTGAGGACCTTCTGCACATACATCAACAATAAACCCTGGTTTACTGCAAGACTCAGGCAGCTTCGTCGGGCTAAGGAGGCCTACAGAAGTGGAGACAGGATCCTGCAACCAGGCCAGAAACACACTGACGAGGGAGAGCTACACTGAAAAGCTGGAAAAAAAGTTTTCAGTCAACGACCCCTTGTCAGTGTGGAGAGGCCTGCTGCAAGTACTCACAAACTACAGCAGGACAATCACAATCAACTGGCTGACGACCTGAATGTCCTCTACTGCAGGTTTTTAAGCCTACTCTCACACCCCCCAACTGTCCCATCATCAAACAACCATCTACACTCCCTGCCTCCTCCTCACCTCTCCCAAACGACCCCCCACCGGTACTGAGGATCTGTGAAGAGGATGTGGGTCGGCTCTTTCACAGACAGAAGATCAGGAAGGCTCCGGGCCCAGACGGTGTGTCCCCCTCCTACCTGAAAGTCTGTGCTGACCAGCTGGCCCCCATCTTCACGCAGATCTTCAACCGATCACTGAAGCTGTGTGAAGTCCCCTCATGCTTCAAACGCTCCACGATCATCCCGGTCCCCAAGAAATCCTCCAACACAGGATTAAATGACTACAGGCCTGTCACCCTGACGTCTGTGGTCATGAAATCCTTTTGATGAAATTTTTAATGAAAAGCCAAGTTTTTTGTCAATGTTTTATCTACTCAACATTTTGTTCTAGCCTCATTGTATGTGTGCGAGTTGGAGGAGGAATTGCATTGATTTAGTCAAAAATACATGCTATAAACATGCTAGTTGAAACACACTCATGGTGACAAAGTCATGGAAGCAGGTCAGCTGCCAATGTCACCTTCTAACAGATGAACTACTGAAGAAGATTCATGTTCACATCAGTGAGGGTAAAGTATGTGACATAACACAGGATCATTTTACATGTCTGATCATTTTTTTATTATTTAACTGAAGTCAACCTCAAAGCAGTCAAGTGTAGAAAGTGTGGAGCTGAAGGTGGTTCAGTGTGGTGAGTGGACTGCTGTGGTGCTGGAGCTTCCTCACACCTCATTGGTTGTGTGATCAGTGGCTCCAGGAAGGCCAAAGACCCAGGGAGAGTCATGCCCTGTGATACCAAAAACAAGTCAGGAATGTGGATCCTTCTCTTGGTCTACTGTTAGTGTCAGTGTCTCCAAGACTTCAGTTGAAGTGTTGGCCTGCAGACTAATCCATGTCTGAATAAATCTGCATTAATCAGTAGGGTCACAAGTTATTTGAGTCTAGAAAACATTTGTAGGCTTCATCTTTGGCACTATTGAAGCAGTGGAACATTGTTAAAGAAGGTGGCTGTAAGATTAGCATGCTAACTTTATCTTGTCACCACTTTATGTCACAGCCAGTTAGCTTAGCTTAGTTATGACGAATTAGTTTTAACAGTTGAGTTTTTGTGCAAATTAAACAAACAAGATATAACGTGTGAATTAGTGAACTTGAGATCTGCTGGATTCTGTTTCCTTTGTTCAGGGCCAGCCTGTTTTCCAGTCTTCATGCTATGCTAAGCTAAGCTAAGCTAAGCGACTGTTGGCTCCAGCTTCATATTTACAGAGTGGTATCAATCTTCTCATCTAACCGTCAGCTAGAAAGTGAATAAATGTATTTCTCAAAATTAAAAACTATTCCTTTAATGTGCAGCTTACTCCCTTCAAACATAGGCATCCATCTCTGTCCATCTTGTCTTGAAAAGAGTAAAAAAAACTATTAAAATAATTAAGTTAGGAAGACAACAAATATTAGAATTAATAAATTAGTGATTTTTACGTGTATAAACAGGTGTAGAATACTGAATGTCCCTCACACAATAACAAACATTACTTTCTCTTTCCATGATAAAGTAGTTTATATTTGGTCACTTTATTAAGCTCATACTCACCTCCAGCTCAGCTGGTATACAATTCATAGCCTAAACTGAAATAAAAGGGGACACTTAACTCGGCAGCTAATCTGTTCACCCACACATAGTTACCCCCTAATTTCTCACTAAGTGTGGGACAGGAAACAATAGTAAGTGCTCGGATGCTATCAAACAAATCCAGTATTAAATGTTTAATATTTATAAGGGTTTACCATTTTAAGAAATGTGAGTATATGAATGTGTTCATGAATTTAAAAATGAAAGAGGAAGGTGCAGCAAATCACAGCAGAGCATTACCACTTACAAAGCTATTTGTAGGACCTCATGTCACATGTGTGCATACTACTACTAAGCTCGGGCACACGTAGGAAGTACTTTCGCTTCCATCCCTTTGTCAGCTGTTGCAGAAGTCAGTTTGAGACACAAACACCGATTCGGGAAAGCAAAAGTAGCATCACATTTATTCATTGGTCAGTATGTTCTAGTCGCTAAAGGTGAGTACTGCGTCAATGTCCAGTTCACTGCACCGTGAGGTTGGAGGCACAGCATGAATTATTTCATATTAATCAGTCGCTGCCTTTATGGCGACAGCATCTGTTGCACATTTTGTTAATACATCAAACAAATACTACATGTAACTATTATCACTATGGGTTATTTTGTAACTAACTGGTCGTCTACTTCCTCTGAAGGGAGCGTTGCTTCAGTTCCCATGATGCATTTCAGTATGCATGCTTAAAGTGTTTTCAGGTGAATTCGTTCCTCCCATTAAAGTCGGCAAAACGGTATTTAAGGAATGTTTTTCTTATCACTAAATTAAAAATGATGTCTCATCAAACTAAATGTAATCTCATAAAAATAAAAAAAAACATGGAAGTTATTAGTCGTTCGAGACTGAAACATATTCTGTGTTAAGTGTGCAAACGATGAAACAATGGGCCCCACCAGAGTACGTTTCAGTCCTTGAGGTGTTTGGTAGTACCTCCATACTGACAACAAAGTGGGCCGCAACATGTAAACAGAGCTCCATCATGGGTTCACTTCCCAAATACAAGGCGTTTTCCAGACTTCCATTTCATAATTAGATTTGTGCGTTCAGTATGTTTATCACACACAGTTGTAATGGTGTCTTCCATCTTTCATTTTGCTCTATGGATGGTCGTTATACATCACAGAAACAGATATTAAAATATGAGGTTACGTGGCGTCCAAAACCACAATGAAACAACTTTTCATATTATTTCTTATTAGAATTTTTTTCCTTTTCCAATACAGATTTTTCAGTCCTGTGAAGCGAGCCCTATGCAACAGAAAAGACATTTCTTCTTCTCTCATCCTCATCCTGGACGTTTCCCTTCACTGCTTCAGGACGGGGAGCTCCCTCGGCTTAAAGAAAGCCTGAACCATCCCCATGGCGAAGATGTACACTTTGGCGTCCACCACGATTTTTTCTTTCTTCATCAGATCTGCCGGATAAAAAACGGGGGGAGGGGGGGCACAAGTCAGCTTTGTCTGTGTTGGTCCGAATAAGACGCCTCGCTCTCGTAATGACATCATCACTCTGGAAAAAAAACTGCAGCCTCACCATCTAGTTTCACCTGGAATTCATCAAGAGGTAAGAGAATGACTTCAACAAATTCTGCAAGGAGAGAATACAGGCTTGATTCGCTCTATGATGAAAACAAATATGATTATTTCTGATGTAATAAAAAGGAAAATAACTCACCTCCATCGCCTGTAATTTAGAACAAAAGAGAACTAAATTAGTGAACATGTTTTGTTATATTACAGGCTTTTCTTTTTGCGAGGTTTCGCGTTAGTGCTCTTATTTTGTTCGTACCCAGAAGAGAAAATGATCAGTGATAACGGCAAAATGTTCTCTTGAATCACTCATACGTGCCACTTGAGGATAAAATAGTAAAAGAATAAGAAAGTAAATGTTTGTTTAGACAAGAGAGTGGGGGAGAAGTGAATGAATCCTATCAGTCTCCTCACCGAGCTGTTGCGTTGGGTTGATGTTCTCCCCCCCGTCTCCGTTGATGTTGACCATGACCATCTGGGTGGTGCAGTTAGACAGACCGGGGTCCAGGCAGGTCACTGTGATCAAGACAACAACATTACTACTCTACTTGAATTGTATGAAACTTCTTATCACTTTGCAGTGCTTGACCCCTGAACCTCTCCAACACACACACACACACACACACACACACACACACACACACACACACAGGAGATACGATGCATCCAAGAGAGGCAGCTTATGCAATCACTCGTACAGCAAATCTTAGTGCGAGGATACCTGGAGTGATTCCCACTACTTCCCCTTTGTAGCCGGTCTCTTCTTTTAGCTCCCTCAACGCAGCTGCCTCTGCACTTTCCCCCTCGTCAATCAACCCTGAGCACAGCACAAACAAATAAAAAGAAAACACAGATGTGGCATCGATAGATTACAAAAGGCCCGACAGTCTCTCCCAAAAGAAATGAAATGTTTCGGAGACTGAGAAACATGAAAAGTTTGATATCTAATTGAAGGACTTTTCAATAAGCTCCGCATTTTTGGAAAAACCTTCCGACCTGCAGGAAACTCCAGAGTGTGGCATCCCATGGGAGGACGAAACTGCTTCACCATCACCACGCAGTCTTTGTGGAGCGTCCGCTTCAGCAGGGCGATAATCCCAACACCTGCAGGAGAAGTGCGTTACAGCCTGCGGGACTCAGCGCGAGCTCGACTGACCAGGTGAAACAGCAAATGTATATATATTTATTTATATTTATATACGGTGACGCTCACCGTCTGCTTCTGTGTTGGTTTGCCTCGTTGTTCTTTTCACCGTCTCCCAGGCTCTGGTGAACGAAAAACAAGGGGGTTAAAAACTGTGTGTGTGTGTGTGTGTGTGAGATTGTGAAGATCGTGGCCGTCGAAAGGCGGGACAGTACCTGGTGCTTCCAGCACGGTCCACGTATGTGGTCTTCTCCAGCTTCAGCCATTTTCCTGCTGCCATGAGCTGAAAAACACACCGAGTCAACACGCAAAACAGCTTCCAGTGTGAGCTACTACTCTACTAATCAACAGTAGAAACTGCCCCACAGAGAAGCATGCATGTGGTATGCTGAAGGGAAGGTTCTGCAAAAATGCAAGCAAAGGAATAAATCAAACACATTCATTTCATGTGTCAATCGATAAATCTAAAGGGCAATTTGGTTTAATTTGAGTAATTGGGAAATGTTTAACTGTGAGATGTACACAGCAACTTTTGTCGTGTTTTGATTAACTCATCTTTGAGAATACTCTTATCAATGAACAATCGCACCATTTTTTTGGAAAAAGGTAGGTCCAAAAAAAAAAAAAAAATGGAGATGTAACCTTTGTACTTATTGATTAGTAAACACAAAGTATTAACTTTGGCAAAGAATATGGACTCAATCGGGTGAATAAATTGCCACGAGTAAGCAAATAGAGGTCTCAAAAGCTGGACACTACCGTTATGTAGCTACCTGTCAGTGTGCATTACAGCTTCACGTGGAGCATTTGAAGGCTACGGACGTAACGTGTTGTGTTTACTTGCCTCTTCTTTCACTATATGTGGAGCAGTAGTCACGTTGGGTTCCTCGGAGTTGCTCATTTTCACTATCTGGACAACTGAAAAAATTAGGAAATTCGAGTCAGAGAAACACACAGAGTGCTAACCACCCCGGGCTGAAAGGACTAACGTTAGCTAATGTTAGACGTTTCTCGTCATGAGTTGCTCAATTACCGCTAGCTGCTACAGCCAGGCAACGCTAACCAAATTAAACCAAGGGTTCAACTCCCCGCATTATATTTTCACTTTTAGCCTTTCTATTTCTTTCTTTCTTTCTTTATTTCTTTCACGCTAGCTAGCTGCTTTACACTTAGCACTTGCCACCGGGGTTCGGAGCTCGTGCAATTGAAACTTTAGACAATCATTTAAAATGAACTAAACTAAACTCACGTGAAATCCCCACCGTAGTAGAGATCGGAAAGAAGCAATGAGGAGTCACTCTGCCACCACTTCCGGGTACCGCAAACGTCACCTAAGTCTAGTTTTATCCTTCAATGAGGTGAAAGACTAATAGTTAATGTTTTTCTTGAGTACCAACTAAAAAAACGTTTTGGGGTTAATGCAAGATTTAGTAATAATTTACAATAGATTAATGAATGGGGTTAGTTGACAGCAAAAAGGTTGACTAGTATCCAAAGATAATGGCTCCGTTCTCATTAACTGTGCTTATGTATTATGTAGTTGCATTAATAATGTCACATTTGAAAATATAGAGAACTGAACCGTGAGAATAAATAGTGGCGTTAAAGTTTTTTAAGGCATTGGGTGTTTTCGCACTTTAATAAACGATCTATGTTGCAAGTCAGCGGTTTTTACGTGTGCACCCGAAAAATGCTTCCCCCTCTGTAAACACAAATTGATTACATAATTCGATCAAAACGACGTTGACTGTTCCAACAATAGCCTTTTAATAGATTCAAATTCGTTGGTAACAGTGCAATTAGGATGCAGTATTGCCTCAAAATGTCAAGGCGTTAAATGAGACTGCAGCCCCGACATTTTTTAAAACATCGCGGGTTCGGAAGATATTTACCGATGGACTCTTTTCCGTTAAAGGATATTGCAGCATGAAGAAGGAGCAAGTTGTCAACTGTCAGTTTTCGGTTTGGTATCCGATATTCAAGCAACATACGATTAAAAGGTAGACAGCTGACATTTGTACAGAAATTCCAAGAAATATTTTCATCGTCGGTGCTGTCCATTTAGCCAAAAGCTAACGTTAGCTCCCAAACAGAAGCAGAAAAAAAGCTAGCTTCCATCTCCGTTTCTTACCTATCTTCACATGTATCACGTGTTCCATGCTACACAATTGTGTTTAAATCGTTTTCATTATTCCATCTCTTCCTTCCGTTTGTCTGTTGTCTATTATTTATTGTATTGTTTACACGTATTCATTTGTGGTATCGTGTTTGTTCTTTATTCCAGTCTGATTCTTCCACTGCCTCAGAATGTAATAGACTATTTACTGGACGACGGCACACTGGTAGTCTCTGGGAGGTATGAGGCCACTGACACGCGCAAACACACATTCTGTTCAAGTTGCCATTGTTGGAATGAACCTGAAAACACCATGCCAAAAATCAGCTCCATCTTGCTGCTCCTCCTTTAGTCTTTGATTGGCACGAGTTATATTTGAGAAGCATCGAGAGTAGGATGCTTTTGGTTTTTTCATAGTGGACACGTGCTGCTACAGATTGACCATAATAACATTTGGTCCTCGATCTGAAATGTGCATTATGGTCATCAGGTCTGTCTTGTCTCCGATGCAGCTGCCTGATTGACAAATACCGTCTATTGTTTCTCTTCCCTTCAGTGACCACAACACACAGCCGACACACACCAACAACAGCGACTCTGACGCAGAGGAAGACGTTCAGGTACGGAAACGGAGACTTTGTGGTTGTTTGTCCACTCCGGGGCTCTCTCTTATTTTGCTGCATTTCCTGGAAAGGAAACGGGTCATTGTTTCACTTATTCACAATCTTAAAATGTTTCGTATTTTTGGCAGGAAGAAACTGACAAAAGAGATATCTGCACACTTAGATATCACTTTGTACACTTTGTTTTTTGCAGAAAGGCCACTGCTACAATCTGAGATGTCACTTTGTAATTTTTTTTGATTAGGGGGCAATGTCATCATATTCTATTCATTCATCTGTATCGTTACATTACGTGTAGCTCCAACACACAGGTGAAACAGAACTGTATTTAATGTTGATGTTTACCCTGCGGCCCTGTTTCTTGTTCTCTACTTCTCTCTAGTGGTCAGATGATGAGACAACATCCACTGTCACAGTGAGTACAGTCAATGCTTCTCATCACAATGTCTGTGTTCTTAAGGCCCATCAAACAAATTTATCGCCCACCTGATAAAACATTTACCGTCTGACATTTGCATTTGCATTTACGTGTGTGTGATAGGCTCCTGAGTTCCCAGAATTCACTTCTAAGGTGCTGGAGGCCATAAACGCTCTGGGCGGGCGCGTCTTTCCCAAACTCAACTGGAGCGCTCCACGGGTAAAACACTGCACCCAGCTGCTTTACAGCAATGCGTATATCAGTGACTCACCCCGAGTTACCTTAAGCTTTTGATGAAAACTTAGTTTTTTATCTCGCATGCTTCCGCGGCGAACAGAGAGTCTGAAAGCGAAGAAAAGTCTTGATGAATTCGAAAGTAAATAAGGCAGCAAAACTATATCAAAACATCTGTTTTCAAACTCACACACACACTGCTTTGCTGTTGTTGAATGTGGCCCCTATTCATGTCAATTCATCAAGACGTTAACACATGTAACAACAGCAAAGCAATGTGTGTGAGAGTTGGTAAACAGATGTTTTGATAAAGTTTTGCTACCTCATTAACTTTCATTCATCAAGACTTTTCTCTGTGTTTTTTTTTTTCTTCTTTTGCTTCCGTCACCTTGGAGGCTTGAGAGAAAAAAAAGTTTTTTATTCAAGGTTGAGTAATTGAAATACAAATTGTCATTTTGGATGTGAACTATTTTTTCAAAGAAAAAGGAAAAACAGTTTTTAATTGAGCAGAGGTGAATCAATTAGTAAAGCGTAACAACATGACCTGTTTTTTATTATTATATTAGCACGACCAAATCATTTGCTGGCTATTGAAGAATATGGATTGCTTCTTGCACCACTGCCAGCTTTAAGCGTGTGTGTGTGTGTGTGTCCCTTTCAGGATGCCAACTGGATCGCTCTGAACAGTTCCCTGCAGTGTGACAGCCTCAGCGATATATTTCTGCTCTTCAAAAGTTCCGACTTCATCACCCACGACCTCACCCAGCCGTAAGCCTCTCCATCCAGCAGCATGGTCACGCACACATATTAAACATTGAGATGACAACCACCACCACCACCAAAAAAACAAATAAATAATACAACAGCCAGGTTTGGTTATGTTTGGCGGTCTGATTTCAGTCTGCAGCGAAACACAAAAAGTGGCAGCTGCAGAAATTGCCGTGATGCAGATTTCTAACTCTCAGCTCTCAGCTCTGCGTGACAAACATTTAGTGCAGTGAGTGATTTACTGCAGCGCACGGCCTTGGGGGAAGCTGTGTGTGTGTGTGAGAGAGAGATTAGAAAAAGCAATGTGATATATGCTTGTTTTTTTCTCTCGCAAAGACACAGCAGCCAAGCTGTAAATAGAGATCATAAAC